AGCGAACGCCACAAGTATATTGAGGTAGGCACATGGGAGTTTGAGTATTAGCCTCGCCGGTGTGCATATGGACACTGAACCCATCGAATCCGAGTCGAATGCCCGACGGTTCCTTTAACATTATTACTGAATTTATCGGCGACATATGCTATACTTTGGGTCTGGTCAGATGATTTTACTCGAAATTTTCCAGCAATAATTCCACTCTACCCCTAACGGCGCAGAGTGGGACCTGTACAGCAAGGAGGGTTGAGGCTGGGAATATACACACCTTGGGCGACTGCACCGATGTCCAGTGAAGCGCCGCCAGCGTATGCGTCTTTTACGAGCCTCCAGAATATGGAGAATAATTTTCAGCAAGGTGGGACAAGTAATCGCATGTATGGCTACCCACTAGAGACCATGCCGCGGCCGATACCTCAACCCAGAAGTAGCGATCATATGCCAAATGATAGAGGGGGTATGCCCCGCTCTTCATCAGGCCTCACCTCTACCAGTATGGCGTATTCGAGTTCTCCTAGTGGAAGAAACATCCCCATGTCGTCGTCTGTTGGCTCAAGGATGGGTCGACCGCTTCCCCCTGTCCCAACGAACTCGCAGGGCCCACCTGTAGTGCCTCCACGACCACAAACGCTCTCAGCTCCAGATTTTACCGGTGGTATCCCAGGAGTGCAGGGTGGATTCGTCGCATCACCTACCACCCTAAGCCCACCAATGGGGACCTCTTATCTTCCACAACTACACGAAGAACCACCGCCTCCCCGGGCACCTTCTCCGTCCACGACATCATCTGGATCACTGTCTCGTACGAGAACGCGCCAGTCTGTGCAGTCTGCTCACTCTTCCAATTCCATGATTTCCAGCCTAAGTCCTGTCCGTACCCCTTCATCCTTTGAGACTTCTGAGTGGCCATCCTGGCGCATGCCGATTGAGGAAGAGGGGCCTGTTCGAGATTCAACTATGCGTCCAAATGAGAATCACCAGACAGTACCAATCAATGCAGACCCGGGTATGGTGATTGCCAATAAACACTTCGACCTTGTCCTCCACAAAGGAAGTGCAAGTGCTCTCCCAAGATATGGAAAGGGTGAATGCGTTGAAGGCTATATAGAGCTTCACTCGACCGAGCACGTGGAAGAAATTGAAGTTATTGTTAGTATGAAATCATTTCTCCCATTCGACTCTCCCTTCTCCTGTGTGTCCTCTATATATGGACACTCAGCTAACGCAACATCCTTCTCCAGCTACAAGGCATACTTCTTGTATCCTATTGGAATCGCGGCCAAGCTCATGATCAAACCAAATTAACTCTGCTCGAGGAACACAAAAAGCTTTACAATTCGGCATTCAACATGGCTCCCGGGCATTCGTATTCTTTTCAATTCTTCTTCCCCGAAAAATGCAACGCCAGCGATACCCCTCTACCCCCTAGTTGGAATCTCGTACAACCGGTGAATATTACTGCATCTTTTTCGGTCTGTCTTTACGATGTCATGCTCATCTTGCTATTTTATCAAGGGATTTACTGCCGAAGTCTCGTATTCTGTTCGTGCGATCCTAAGACGCCGAGGTTTCTATAGGCCAGACGAAAAGTATGTCCAAACCATCCAAAGCCATATGATGGTTTATATCCCAAATAAACATGCTAAATCTATGAAATAGGGTTAATGCAAAGATCGAATATCATCCCCGTAATTACTCGCCTCCGATTTCCCTTTCCGACGAATCACGGCCCCGACGGATATTAGAAATTAACAATAACCTCCCACCTATGGGTCACACTGGTGCCGAAAAACCTATGGTTCCTACTTCCTTCAAAACAAGAGTGAGTTCTCGAATTGTATTCCGTAATCCTGTATACTGACAATGGGACAACCAGATTACTCTCTTCCGCCCCCTCGTCTACCCATCTGGATCTCAAATACCGTATCAAGTCGAACTGTCTTCTGCGGTGCATTCTGAGGTTCCAGCCGCGCTCAACGTCGAAGTAACACTTGTCAGAATCTCCGAAGTCACCGTAAAAGGACAGACCCATGATATTACACGTATCATAGCTACAGGTGCCAACGACACTTCCCAGTTCCAGCTAGGCAATTCGAGTAATGGTCGAAGAGGTAGCGGTGGGACCCTTACGATCAGCGGGAAATGCTTGGCAGGTATGGAAGGACAAGAAATGAGCTGGGGTGTCGGAGGTGTCGCTTCCATTAAAGTACGTTGTCTTCTTCTCACGTCATTCCTGTATTCACCTTCTTGTAGTACGCTTTGCGATTCGTGATATCGCCTAGGGCCGACATATTGGATTTTGCGGGCTTCAGAGAGAGATTGCCAACATTTGAGCACTCTGAAGAGATCCAATTGACAACCGACCCATACCCCCTCGCTGCTCAAACCAACCTATCACCATCGGGTCCGGCATTGTGACCATACACACCCATAGGAGCATAGTTATGATGATTAGAGTTTTGCGAGGACAGGGACCCAGTGTCATGAGTGCCTGAGCGGGTTCGTTGATGGGCACCAGGACGCGAGGGTGATAGGTTGGTTTGAGCAGC